TCTTTCCTGGTCGTGGTAGTTACCACACATGTATGCACCTATCAGTACTCAGCCAAAGTCTGAGAGGGTTTGTTTGCAGATCCCCAGAGTTTTCTTTCTCTGTGGCTCTTTTCTTCCTGGTTGTTTCACTGAACAAATTGTGGCTATGCTGGACTCCCTATAATCTCCCTATAATGAATGTCTCCTCCACTCATTGAGACCACAAGCCTCTACTTGGGTTCCCCTCCCCTGTGTTGCTACCTAGAAATGCTCTGGCAAAATGATCAGGCAATGTCAGGGCTCATAGATTTGCTTTCCTTCTTTCAGAGATCACTGTTTTGGGTTGTCGAGCAATGTCAGAAAATAGATATTTCATGAATTATTTTTTCTTCTGCCATGCACCACCCCTGCCACCAGCATTCCACTCCTATTTGTTCCTGTCCATGGGTCATACATATAAGTTCTTTGGCTTCTCCATTTCCTATACTATTCTTAACCTCTGCCTGTCTATTTTTGTACCTACCAATTATGCTTCTTATTCCCTGTACCTTTTCCCCCATTCTCCCTCCTTCCTTGATAACCTTCCATGTGATCTCCATTTCTCTGATTCTGTTCCTGTTCTAGTTGTTTGCTTAGTTTGTTTTTGTTTTTGTTTTTAGGTTTAGTTGTTGATAGTTGTGAGTTTATTGTCATTTTACTGTTCAAATTTTTGATCGTCTTCTTTTTCTTTGATAAGTCCCTTTAACATTTCATATAATAAGGTCTTGGTGATGGTGAACTCCTTTAATTTTCACTGTCTGGGAAGTACTTTACCTGCCCTTCCATTCTAAATGATAGCTTTGCTGGATGGAGTAATCTTGGATGTAGGTCCTTGCCTTTCATGACTTGGAATACTTCTTTCCAGCCCCGTCTTGCCTGTAAGAAGGAAATCTATTTTCTTTGCCAGATTGGGGAAGTTCTCTTTCATTATTTTTTCAAGTAAGTTTTCAATATCTTGCTCTTCCTCTTCTCCTTCTGGCACCCCTATGGTTCCATGCTGGAACATTTAAAGTTACGCCAGAGGTTCCTAAGCCTCTCCTTGTTTTTTTGAATTCTTGTTTCTTCATTCTGTTCTGGTTGAATGTTTACTTTTTCCTTCTGCTGCAAATCATTGATTTGAGTCCCAGTTTCCTTCCCTTGGTTGAAAGTCCCTTCCTTATTTTTCTATATTTCACTTTTCATAGCCTTTAGTTCTACCTCAATTTTGTGACCATACTCAACCATATCTGTGAGCATGTGATTGCCAGTGTTTTGAACTCTGCATCTGATAGGTTGACTATCTTTTCATTGCTTAGTTCTATTTTTGGACCTTTGATCTGTTTTTTTTTCATTTGGGCCATATTTTTTTGTCTTAGTGCACCTGTTATGTTATGGGAGGTGGAGCCTTAGGTGTTCTCCAGAGCAGAGTAACTCACTCTGTGTTGTGGTGCTATATGTGAGCGAGGGATGTGAGAGAGAAGAATGCAATTAGGTCAGCTCTCCACCAGCTTTCAGTTACTTCCCCCAATACCCATAGCAGATTAGGCCCTTCTGGTGCTGATTCCCAGGTGGGTGATTTTGTGTATGTTCTAGGACCCTGTGGGCCTTTTCAGTGAACTCTTCTGTGAGGCTGGGAGTTTCTCCTGCTGCTGCCATTCTCACAGGTTTTTACAGCCAGAGGTTTTGAGGTTTTATTTCCCTGCACTGGAATCCTGAGTTGTGTGGTCTGTTTCACTCCTTATTTGTCCCTCCCAATTTATCTGCATGCCAGTGTGGCATCACCAGCAGCTGCCTGGCCCACCCAGTCCTCCAGCTGCCACCTTGCCTTGAGTCCTCTCCAACCCAGCTGCCAATTTCCGCCCCTCTTACTGGTCTGAAGGTATGTTTGTTCTTTAACTCTTTGATTGTCAGACTTCCATACAGTTCAATTTTCTGGCAGTTCTGGTTGTATTTATTTTTAAATTTGCTGTTTTTCTTCTTTTGTTGTGCAAGGAAGCAAAGTGTATCTACCTATGCATCCATCTTGGTCAGAAGTTTAATATTTCGTATGTCTTATCTGACTTTCTAGTTGCTTAAGGTAAGAGAGTTAATATAGTCCTAATTACTTTATTGTGGCTAGAAGCTAAATTCTAATGTTGTGTTTATAGTATCCTTATGTTTAATTATTCAAGGATTACTTTTAGTTATCATAACTTTTAGGTGATGTAAGCAGGTAAATGAGAATATCTTTTTTTAAAATATATTTTATTGATTATGCCATTATAGTTGTTCTATTCCCCCCTCTTCATTCCCCTCCACCCTGCACACCCCCTCCCCCACCGTTACCCCCTTTAGTTTATGACCACGTGTCTCAAGTTCTTTAGATTCTATATCTCCCCTACTATACTTGTCCCCCCATCTATTTTCTACCTACCATCTATGCTACTAATTTTCTGTACCTTCTCCCCCCTTCTCCTCCTCCCACTCCCCTGTTGCTAACCCTCCATGTGATCTTCATTTCTATGGTTTACTCCTCATCTAGCTGTCCTCTTAATTTGCTTTTGTTTTAGGTGTAGTGGTTAATAACTGTGAGTTTGCTGTCCTTTCACTGTTCATCTTTTTTATCTTCTTTTTCTTAGGTAAGTCCCTTTAACATTTCATATCATAAGGGCTTGGTGATGATGAACTCCTTGAATTTCATCTTATCTGAGAAGCACTTTATCTGTCCTTCTAATCTAAATGAAAACTTTGCTGGATAGATCAATCTTGGTTGTAGGTCTTTGGATTTCATGACTTGGAATACTTCTTTCCAGCCCCTTCTTGCCTGTAAGGTCTCTTTTGAGAAATCAGCTGACAGTCTGATGGGGACTCCTTTGTAGGTGACTGTCCCCTTAGCTCTTGCTGCTTCTAGGATTCTCTCCTTCATTTTAATCTTGGCTAATGTAATGATGATGTGTCTTGGTGTGTTTCTTCTTGGGTCCAACTTCTTTGGGACTCTCTGAGCTTCCTGGGTTTCCTGGAAGTCTATTTTCTTTGCCAGATTGGGGAAATTCTCCTTTATTATTTGTTCAAATAAGTTTTCCACTTGTGGCTGTTCCCCTTCCCCTTCTGGCACCCCTATAGTTCTGATGTTGGAATGTTTAAAGATGTCCTGGAGGTTCCTAAACCTCTCCTCATTTTTTTGAATTCTCGTTTCTTCATCCTTTTCTGTTTGGTCATTTTTTCCCTCTTTCTGGTCCATTCCTTTGATTTGAGTCCCAGTTTCCTTTCCATTACTATTGGTTTCCTGTGCATTTCCATTCATTTCAATTAGTTTAGCCTTCATATGTTCCTCTAATTTGTGACTATAATCAACCAGTTCTGTGAGCATCCTGATCACCAGTGTTCTGAACTGTGCATCTGACAGGTTAGCTATCTCTTGGTTGCTTAGAAGTATTAGCTCGGGGCTTTCAGCTGTTCTTCTTCTTAAACCATAATGTTTTGGTCTGTTCGTGCCTGTTACGTATGAGGAGAGGCGTCTTGATGTTAACCGGGGCAGGGCCACCCAAGTTGCTGGTTTGTGATGCTGTATGTGGGGGTGGGGTCAGAGAGGGAGCAATGGCGGTCCTCTCTGCTCACCCAGTCTACCTCACCACTCACCCCTGCCTGCTTATCCGAGCGCAAAGGTGCGAGTCTGCCGCCCTGCACCAGTCTCTGGGGCCTGCGAGATCTGTCTCAATGCTCGCCTCTTCACTGGTTTATCTGTGTGCAAATGACCAAGTGCAGACAGCCAGTAGCGCCTCTTCCCTGTGTTCCCCCCATAGCTAGCCCGCACCTGGGATCTGCGCCCTGGGCTGCCTGTGTACCACCCGGATCTTTTTTGCCCGACTGGCTCTGCTGCTGGTTTCGCCCCTCTCACCAGTTTAGCTGAGTGGTCTGTTGTTTCTGGACTCCGTATTTGATTTTCTGTGTGGTTTGGTTGTGTTTATTATTGTTTAAACTTTGTTGTTTTTAGATTTGGTTGTGCGAGGGCGAAAAGTATTCCCACCTATGCCTCCATCTTGGTGGAAGTCTTAGAAATTTATTTTTAAGATGAACTTAAATATCTTACATTAGCTGTTTGAATTCTTCCTCCTCTTCTGGTTTTGTTATGGGAAAAAGTCAGTTCCCACCAATGTAGAGATTCGTATATACCAGTACCATTATTCAATTATTCTCTTATCCCCTTGTGTTTGAACAAGCTGTGCACCTTTAATTTTAGTTCATTTAACACAATATTTATTGATTATTGAATATGGCATAAGGTGTAACAGATGCTCCTTGACTTTAAGAGGTCCATGACTTATTTGGAGAAATGAAACAAATACATAGAAAACTTTAAAAAGCAGTGTAAGACCATAATTAGAAGGATGGTTGAGTGTAGGATATGAAATCGAATTGAGTTCTAGAGGCAATATACACTATGTACTTTTTTTCCTTTTTTCATCTCTTTAATCATTTTCTATGGTTCTCTAGTGAACATTCTTCAATTTATCCAGATCATTCCTTAGATGCAGGGCTAAAACACTCAGCAGGCATGAATCTGAATAGTTATGAGCATGTTTGGATGATTACATCAAATTTCTGACTGCTACAGCCCTGTTTATACCTCCCAAACCTGTTTGTGCTGTTATCACTATACCATGTCATTATCTCTTGGCAAGATAAGTAATGGAAAAATGTTTGAATCATGAAGACCCAGGTTTGAATCCTTTCTTCACTTCTTGCAGGCTTGAGATCTTGATTGAGTATGTTAGTTAAGGGCAATTTGGTTAAAGATAACATATTCTACCTTAGCTAGCCTAAGCTAAAAGACAGCTGGAGGTGGGGGACACTCATAGACCCCAAAGACAAGAATGAACAATGAACTTGAGTTTAAGGCTCAAATAGACCAGAGACTAAAGTACTATAACAAACTTTAGAACATTATCTTTGTTTCTTATTTCTGCAAATTTGCTTCATTTTTCCTTCTGGTTACTAATTATTTTCTTTCTCTTATAGTAGACATGGCAGGTAAGGGAGACGTTAGGTGTACCTAAAACTTTTGTTTTCTAAGCCATGTGGGTGAATAAACATGTGTGTGTGTGTGTCAGGGCACAGTTCACATAAAATGTTAGGAAGTTGGTAGAAGAGTTCCCATAAATGTAGAGTAACTGGGATAATAAAATGATGGTTGCACTATAACTAAACATTTCATCTCTTTTAGCATAACTTAACATATATACACAAAAATCATCTATTAATACTAATTCTCTTCTCTTTCCAGTCAACTTTTACTCTGTGTAATAGATAATTTTTACAAGTATATAATATGTATTACCTACAAAGAGAAATATGTGTTGATTTGAAATTATTAAAATATTATTGAATTATTGAAAACAGCTTACATTTTCATAATTTATTAAGGCAAGTATCCATATATTCTTCCTGGACCGAGTGGTTGAAGTGGAAAGTAACTGATTGAGTGATTTGATGATTCTTTGCCCAAGAAGGTTGGTTGTTGGGGTAAGAATTGCACAGCTACAGAGGCGTACCTATGGGAGTTTAGCAAAAGACCCTCAGTGGAATGCACTAATCAAGTCAAAAAACTATAGTGTGGGAGTTTCTGCAGGGCAAAGGATGCTTCTGAAGAATTCATAAGTTTTCCTATGCAATAGCCAAAGGTGGACCTCAACAAGACGTGGTAATCACCTAGTGTAAACAGAAATGCTTAACTTTTTGCCCTTTCAGTACTCATTTTACTACTCCATGCCATGCAAGAGCCAGAAGCCACATCGTGAGTGGAGGCATAAGTTAGGAGAAATGGTAAAAAAGATGCCTCCATTCCTTCCTGCACTGCAGTCTCAGTGCCTCCATTCTTGGCATGAGTGAAAAGGGGGAGATGCTGTGAATAGGATATGAGATTCAAGTTTCAATTTAGACTGGACCGAATATTTTAATATGTTAATACCAGAACATGAATATGAATTACTAAAGTGATGTGGGTCTTATAACTGTAACTGACCAAGAAGCTATAGGATTGGCCTAAAATGTTATCCAGGGCTGGGAAAGTGAAATCTGATGGAGCATGATTAAAGGTAGCCTTTATTTACCCTTTCAACAAAGGATCACTTATTGATGTGAACTATAATTATGGGTAGTAGGGCATATAATATGTTTTGATATAAATATCCAGTTCTTCCTCTTAAGGGAACTAATTAAAACCTTAAAGCAAGACAGCTTAGGAATTTCTTATGGGTGGTATGGCTCATCCACCATCTGTATGCTCCTGGTCTAATCTTAGCTGGCATCTCTATTTGTGATTACAGGGACTTAATTACCTATGACAGAGTTCACAGTTTTTGCTTTCGAACTCAGAATGACTTCATGATGCTACAAGTTTTTTTCTACTACTGAGGGCTAATGGTCTGTCTCATTTCTCAGGTCTGTTATTTCTTCTTGACTCGAGGGTTGTCTATAACCTTTCTGTGTATATTGAAAATGCCTTTCTACCCCCTTGGTGTTAATGCTATCTTTTGCTTAAAGTTGAAACTGAAAATGGGTTTCTCATTTACGTAACACCATGATATTTCATGGGTAATAAATAATTAAACAACCTTCCCAACAATAGTTGCTATTTCTTTTTTTTATTCAACAGCCAATATTGTGTGCAAGTTAAGCTTGTAACCAGCCCTAGCCTTTCTGTGTGGTGATTTCATGAAGTAAAATTCTGTTTCAAAAATACTTCTTTTTCACTGAACTTACTGGATTATAGTCTGGTCAATTCCCTAGTTCTTAAACATCTGGTTGTTCAGAGGCAATGACCAATACATTGCATCTCCTCCCCTAACTCTCTCTGCCTTTGAAAATATGTCTTGGATTCAAACAACAAATGTTTTCCTGCCTCCTGTACTTCTATCTCAACTCTCCAAACACACGAATAGTTTTACAGAGTTTGAAAGTTTTGCTGACTCCTTACAAAAAATTTGCATATAGTTACATATTGGCAATACTAACCTCCCACTCAGAACTTAGAAAGTAAATATATTCTAGTTTTTAATATCTTCATGGCAAGGTTCTTCCTGAAAAACACCTCCTGGACCCTGTAGGAGATACTTGTAAGTTCCAGTCAAAATTATGAAGTAGATTAATTTTTGCTCTCCTGTGGCTTCCCTATATTATAACAACACCATATGATCTAGAATCCATCAGTCTAAAGCTTTCTGTCATCCACTTTTTATTTTAGCTTGCTTTCACCCAGGTATCTGGGAGGAAAATATTAATATATTATTTTTACACTGGAATGTAAATTATAGGTAGTTAAAAGTGTGCTTTTATGTTTTCAGCCATGGCTCATATTACTTCTGATCTTGCCTAGTTCCTAGAGTATCATTCCACTGTGTCTCTTCCTTCATCAGAAAGCTTAGATGGTTTACATTGCTGCCATGTGACATTTAGACTCCTTAAACTGGTATGTCATGGTCTTCTGCCATTTGAACTTAGCCTTACTTTGAACTCATATCTAATCTGAGTTGATCTACATCAGTCCTTGCATGCCCAGTACCTGTTCCAGCCTCTATATTCTATTTTATTGAAATGATCACCTTAGTCTCTCTCAGTGTTTGCTTGTTAACACTCCACCTACCTTTAAGGCTCAGTTGATTGCCACATCCTCTCTGATGATTTTCTGAATTTCCTCAGTAAGGCTTAATTTCCTCATCTTCACACTTTCTGTGGCACTAATTCTTCATCATGTAAATACCTCTCTTCTTCAAGTGCTTTGGAGTGGAGATTTTATGTCTGTCCTATGGATAGTGACTATTTTGTTCTAGACCAAATATTGAGACACTATGCCAAATTATTTTCCCCCAATTTGTGAGTTTCTTTACATAAGTAAAATTTTGCATAAAATTAATTTTTATTTTGTAACATTTTTGTTCTTAAATTCACCAAAATGGGAAAGTCCAAGGATGAGGTGAGCTTGTCATTAATTGACTAATTGCTAAGCTCACTGATGGTTTGCATCTGATGGATAGCAGATGCAAACCATTGGTGAACATTACCACCCTAGGGAAAGTCTACATGGGGAACCAGGCTATAATGCAAGTATTGTAGGCAGAGCCTGTAATCAGAGCCAAAATAGGTTAATAGACATGAAGGATATTTCAGCCAGGTCTGATGGAGCAGTCCAGGTTTACCAACAGGGGGAAAATATGGGAATATCTTGTCTTCTCCAGAATCTGGAGCTCTTTAATGGGACGATGCTGACATCACTTTTTGGGCTCCCCATTTTCTGTGCTTCCTTTTCTGAACACTTCTCTTTCATTCTTCAAGTGTGTTAATACTATTATTTTGGCCACTTATTTGTCTTTGGGAGCCATTCTGTCTCTTTAGCAAACCTTTGTGAAAGCAAGTCCGAGCTCATCTTTTATGTTTTGATGTTTAATAGCACTTAAAGTTTTTGTTTTAATGATATGAGAGGAAAGTGTATTCACTTAATAAACCATGTATTCAACATTTTGTTGCCTTTTAAATAAGGATAAGTAGAAAATTTTGCAATCATATGTAATAGCTAGCAAAATATTTATAATCAGGACTCTTCTGGAAATTTCATGATGTATCACTGTATCACTGATTACACTAGATCTGGGAAAGCAGGGGCATAGCTAACTTTTAATACTATGTATCCCCACAAGAAGGGCTAAGATTTAGTAAACATATTGAAGGAATTGTGGACTATCTAAACAGGTACATGGATAATAAATGAAGTGACATCTCCTGATGCCTGCTTTTTGGTGGATACAAGAAGGGGTAATTCTAGTTCTTATACCCATTTCCTTAATTGCTGCTTTCAGGGGGTACTAGAAAAGAAGGTTGGTGCCAGTACTGTTTTCCTTGGGAGGTTATATGGGATCAAAGGCAGAACTTAAGGAAGTAAGTATATTTTTAGACTTTGTTACTTATTTAGATAGGTTGCTATAGAAAGTGGTGCAAAGATATTTCAAGCGCAGAATATCACAGCCAGGGTGCTTTAACACTGCATTCAAATAACCTGGAGTGAGACGGGTAGAAGCATCTGCAAACTGAAATAAACCACCACAAACTTCTCTTTGGAATTCACAAGTCTGGCAACCGGTGACTCAGGTAGTGGGTCAGGAGGCCTGAATACTTCATCTGGCACCATGATGCCACCTTAGTTTACAGACTTGGGGATTAATCTGACAAGCCTTCGGTGGTTTGCTTTTTAGCTTTTTGTTCCCCAGTGAATTTCCCCTGGTCCATTTCTAGACATAGGTGAGGGCATTCTATGCCTGTTAGCTATCAGCATCAACAGGTAGGAAGAAAAATTTTCCCATTCAGCAATGAGTGGCATTTGCTTTCCCTACTGTTACCGAACAAGAGGAGGTCCGAGGGAGGGGCAATACAATATTTGGCCCACCTAGGGATGCCCAAAACTGCTGTACAACAGGGGCCCCTCCCGACAACCAAAATACTAAAATCTACTGGACCCTTCTGTCCGCCGCCAATTGGAAACACATCTCTTAATGCCAGAGATTTGTGAAAAGGAAACAAAATGTTTATTTAATGCTATTCAGGCCTAATGCCACTACTAAAATATCAGAGTCCTTTAGGTTATACACCTACACCCACACAGCGCTCCCTTCTCCCTCTGTCCCAACTCCGGGTACCGTAAATCAGGAAAAGAGCACACGTCTGTGTTGCAGGCCGCTGGCACCGTCAGCTGTGTCACCGTGCAGGATCTCGAGTTAATCCAGAACTGTGGTACCCTCTCATAGTCCACACTGGCAAGAGTCCTTTGTACCCAGTTCCAGTCAAAGTCTCTGTTGCTTTTCAGGCCCCGCGGCCAAAGGGGGCACCCCAAAGCCGCGTGGGCCTCTTCTACCAAAGCTGCAGGAGTCCGCACTCCACCAAAAACATGTGGCTGTCTTCTTCACCTGGCTGCAGGGATCTCCATTCTGGCCAAACTGCGTGGTTTTTCCCTTTCACCTGGGAAAGAGGGGGTCCACACTCCG